TTAACGACTGAGCCACCCAGGCGCCCCTCTACTTAGTCTTGATTGCTATAATTTTACTGTAACCCTGTTATTGACTTCCTCTGTTATCTTCCTGTCTTCACTTTTTCTTTCTACCCCCTTACTATATGGTTGTATGGTTTAGTTCCTGCTCTTCTGGTCTCTCGACATTCATTCCCTCAGAGCATGCATCCATTCTCTTGCTTTCAACATTCCTGCCAATGTGATGATAACCTGTAGTAATAACAAGGTTGGTGATAGTCACAACTGATATCTACTGAGCGCTTACTTGTGGATCGTAACCACTCTACATGAATTATACCATTAAATCCTCATAACTCTCAGAGGTACTATTACCAACCCTATTTTAAGAGATGAGGAAGTTGAGTTTTTGCCAAATGTCACTTATACAAGCCAACATGAGCACCCTCTCATCCTATCTCTTTTGTTCATGGCTCTGGGAATTTTTTCTTAACATGGACCCAGATTGTTACGGTATAAGAAAAAGGGAAGTAGTGTGAAAATATTGGAAAAGATGTGATACTAGTATACAAGGATACTAACCCACCAAATTATTTGCTATGGTTTTGTTTTCTGAGTCAGTTTTGAGATGGGCCCATCCTGATTCTATGGTGCCACCAGGAATCATGAGTTTAATAATGTCTCCTAAGATTCCTGAAGCCAACTGGTCTCCACATTTTCTACATTATGTAAAGAGTCACGGCTTGAATAAGAGGGTTTTGGTATCACTTACACAACTCACACACTGTTTTGTGCCAATCTAGCATACTGATACCCAGTGTTGTGTTTGGACTGGCCATATGCTTCTTATTATGATTGCAAGATGCCCTTCAGCAACAACAATGGGAAGCTTTGAAAAAAAATAGAGGTATAAGACACAGCACAGCTGGGGCCACACAGCGAGGTTATATGAGGCAGAGGGAGAGGGGATGGTGAGCACACAAGCGTGCACAGGCTGGGGGTTCTGCTTTTATTGGAGCCAGGGGTGAGGGCCTAGGGTTTCGTGCGCTCACTCTCAGAGAATTTAAAACATAAGAGTGCGAATTTAAAGCTCAGGAAGAGAAAAGGCAAGTGGCCCAAATGGCCAGTTATTGAAATCAACCGAGATCACAAAGGAGCCTCATTGGGGTGGGAGGTGGCCTGGCTCTTTATCTAGTCTTGTGGTCGGCAATGTGTTTATTTGAGATAACCATCTTTTGCCAGTTATTTGCATTACAAAAAGAAAAGCCAAGGCTCAGGGCTTACATGACATACGCAAGTACTGCAGAATAACCATCCTGGAGTACCGCTCTGTTCGTTTCACCCCCTGAAATTTAATCCCTCGCAACTGGTTCCTGATTTCATGCAAAATTTTCAGCTACAAAATGACCCCACTTTGCTTTCTCAATCCTGGTTCCCACCACTGTACTCTACATGCCTTGCGCTCCAACCAACCGGGCTGTTCACTGCTCCTTTCACAGCCCAGCACTCATCTAGCTCCTTGACTTTGTCCATACTATTGCCACCATCTTATTACCAAGCACACAGTGTCTTTGCAGAGATGGTTGATAAATAAGGAATGGATCTCCAGTGGCCTCCATGATATGCTACACCCCTCCAATTCTCTTCCTCTGATTTTTCTACCACAAACCCTCCTATCTAATCAAGCCACACTCCTAAATGCTCCACTGTCTTTATTATCCCAGAGCTACACTTCGGGCTTTAGAATCTTAACATGTTAAGAAACATTTATGCAGGATCTACTTTGAGGCAGGTACAGCACGGGGTATGGGTGAAACAAAGATGAATAAGCTATTTATGTTCCTGCCCTGAAAAAGCAAACAATTAGCTACAGAATGAGAAATGCAGGATGCTTGGGGATGGTGTTTTGAAGTGTTAACCCGGAAAAATAAAACTTTCAGTTATTTTACTAGCAAAATGGGTTTATTAGGGAATAACAGAATTGCAATTCAGGACATGCAAGCTATGGCAAAACCATGAGCAAGTCTAACAAAGAAGAGGAACATTATTTTGCGCGGAAGAAGGAGGAAACTGGGAGAGATTATTCTGAACAAAAGTCCACTGGGGGAAAAAAGACGTTCAGGTGATGATGGTTTCTAAGGGCTGAGCTTCAGGGGTAGAAGATCTTGTAGGAGATACAATATACATCTTTCCCTTGCAGGGGCCTGTAATCAATGATTCTTTCTTGCTGATGATTCTTCTGTTGGGGTCTGTAATTGACAATTCTTCCTGTAACTGAAGTTGAGTGGTAAGGCTTCACCTCCTAACTTCCTCTTCTCTCCTCCTTTCTTCATTTTAGTGAAGTTTCCCTTTATTAATATTCACAGAAGCAAATAATGCCCCAGTTTGTCTTAAAGGTTGAAAAACCATGCCAAGTGAACAGCGTGGGAAAGAGGAAAGGGCAGCATTCCAGGCAGCAGAAGCAAACAGACACCATTCAAACATTTCCAACCACTTAGTGTGACTGGAACTAAGGTGGCAGAGGTTAAGTGGCGGGAAAAGAGGCCAGACTGGCAAGAGTTTATTAAGTGATGCCAGGATTTTCCCTCCCGAAAGTAATAGGCTGTGTTTAATAGATTTTAGAGAGGGGAATAATCGGCTATTTCTCTAGAAAGATCCGTTGGGTAGCATTATCAGAGATGGTTTGGAAGCAGGAGAAAATGGAATCAGGGAAGTGAACTATGAAATTGTTGAAGAGATTGGAGCAGGCAGGAGAAATGCTCAGTGATTGAGACTGAAAGCCTCTGTAAAGACCCATCCTACAGACTTCTCTGATTACATTAGTTTTCAACGTCAACCTCCCACCCCACCTCCACCCAAATTCCTACAGCGCTTGTGAAATCTGTGGCCCAAATTTATGCACTTAATTATATCTTCTTTTACTCCCTAGTTGTTTCCTGTACGTTACTCAAGTCTCTCTAGTTAATACAATAGGCGTTTATTGGAATTGGAAGCGCTTGTAAATCGTCCGAGGCCCAATACACTCGGTCGCGCGGGGTAGTCAGGCCCAGCTCACAGCTAGTAGAATGGGGAGGGCTGATTGAGTCACATCACCTTTTTGCAGATCAAATTGTCGCCCTTCTCCTGAGACCTCGCAGGAGGCTACCTCAAGAATGGCTCCACAGCTATTACGCCGTCTGCGTCCACCAGAGGGCGCGTCTCCCCAGGTTTCCTCATTTAGGGAAGCCCGAACATTCAGTTCTCAAAAGCAAATGAACCCTGACGTATTGCGGCCCTCTGCCGTTGCCGTAGCCCCAGACAGTACACAGGAAATAGAATTCAAGAGTCGGGTGAAAAAACACTAGGGACGCAGTAGGGGCAAGTCTACTCCCCCGGTTACGTACGCTCTCCGGGAGTGTGCAGTGTGAGTATTTGGGGGCCTCCCTCGCCAGTTCCTTGTCCAGTGGAGGTATTTTGCCCTTAGCCAGCTCTCATCTCTTATATAGAGTGTCCCCGGAACTATGGCCGAATACTCGTATGTGAAGTCCACCAAACTCGTGCTCAAGGGAACCAAAGCTAAGAGGTAAGGCCAAAGTTTGTGCTGGAGACTCTGGCTCTTTTCTGACAGCACTGCGTCTTCGCCTCCCCTCCCCGGTAGAGAGTCTCACGCAAGCCTTAGCTGTTATTCAGGCTCCCAGCCCTTGGGCCTGGCCTCTGGTCCTGGATGGACTGATGCTGCGACTCACTTGCGGGCACCTGAACAGAGCTGGAGAGACAGGCCGCCGCAGAAGCGCCCTGACTGTCGCGCTTTCAAGAGGGGAGAGACAGGAAAGCGAGACCGGTAGCCCAGGAGCCACAAATTTGCGTCCCTTCATAAGGCCCCGCTCCAGACCCCCGCAGGGTGCGTCTGCCTTAGTCTGATGATGCCATGGGTCATAACAATAACTTCCTTTATTAGGGATACTTATTTTCACCATTGTTTCCCTCCCCCGTAAAAAAAAAAAAAAAAAATCCTTAATTTTTTAATATAATATGCAGATGTGGGTTTTGATAGGGATATGGGCTCAAATCTGGATTCCCACCAGTTACTTGTTTTGCAGTTTGTGGGAAGTTCGTTAATATCTTTGAGCTTCCACTTAATCATTCATTAGGAAAGATTAATGGTACTATAAAAAGATTAAATGAGATAACATATACAGTAAGGAGAGCCAGAGGCAAGGAGAAGGCTGCAGTGATTTATGATTACTAGGTTTTTAGGAAAAGGTATCTGCCCACTCATATCTCCGTCTTTTAACCGATAGATTTGCTCAGAGTTGATTATTCATACAAACGTTGAGCATTTCAGCCTGCCTCAGTGATAGCTTTTGGTACTTTTAGGTAAGATGAAAGAAAGTGTTAAGGAGCAAGCTGAAGCCACTGCCCTTGAGAACTCTGCCTCCGGGTCTGAATCACAAAGAAGTTATCCTGAATAAATCTGAAATTTGTATTGTCTGAATTTTTTATTACTGAAATATAATACATAAAATTTACCCTATAATGTACAATTTTGTGGGTTTTAGTGTGTTCACAAAGTTCACCACTATCAAGTTGCCCAACATTTTCATCATCTGAGAAGGAAACCCCATAATCATTAGCAGTCACTCTCCATTCCACTCTTCCCCTAATCCCTGACAACCACTAATCTGCTTTCTGTCTATAGCCATTTGCCTATTCTGAATATTTCATATAAATGGAGTCATGCAGTATGTGGTCTTTTGTATCTGGCTTCGTCCATGTTGTAGCATGTATCAGTACTCTTATTTTTATGGCTAAATAATATTCCATTGTATGGATATACCACATTTTGTTTTTCCATTCATCAGTTGAGGGACATTTGGGTTGTTTCCACTTTTTGGTTATTATGAATAATGCTGCTTTGAATATTCTAATAAAATTTTTGTGTGGATGTGCGTTTTCATTTTTCTTGGATATATACCTAGGAGTAAATTGTTAGGTCATATGGTAACTCTGTGTTTAACTTTTTGAACAACCCCAAACTATTTTCTAAAGTGGCTATGCCATTTTACATTTTCACCAGCAACACGGGAAGGTACATGTCATCTCTTAATCCTCACAGTAACCTTAAGAGCACAGTTAAATTATTATCCTCATTTTACAGGTGAGAACCTGACAGAGATTAAGGAAGTTTTCCAGAAGTCACAGAGCTAAGAAATGACAATATCATGATTAAAAAAGCAGTCTGGCTCCAGAACCTGTTCTCTTAACTATAACACAATACATACAGCATCAGAAATGACTTCTCAGTATTAGAAGGAAGAGAGTACGTCAGTGTAGAAAACTGTAAATCAACAATTCATAAATCTATGTACAGCTTAAAAGATTCTTCCAAGATTGCATCTTGTGATACTTAACATCAAATCAATATTTATAAACTCATCTATATAAATCATCTCCTGCAGTAAGAAAAAAAAGAACAAAGAGAAGAAGAGAAAAAGAGAAGAAGATGAAGAAACTCAACTTGATATTGTTGGTAAGGTATCTATACTTTATTCTGAGAAAAGTTAACATTGGTTGAGCTGCCTTTAAAAATGCTTTCCTAGTTAGGGATAAGTAGTTCAAAGGAAGTCAAAAGAACTTGTGACCTATACATAGTTTTCTTAAAGTGTTCAATATTATTTAAAGTTATGGATTCCTTTTATTGTCTGGCACAGTAGATGCCGCTGATGCCTTTTTTTCATCATCAGGACAAGGCACAGAGAGAAGAAATAGAGCTCTCTGATTTAATAGATACCATCATTAGACTACTTAATATCCCAGAGATTCTGAACATAATTTTAGAGGCCTGATAGAGATAAATATTATTTAATTAAATATTTTTCACTAATTATTTTCTTTGAACATGTATGCATTTTTTTAAAGATTTTATTTATTTGAGGGAGAGGGAGAGAGCACGAGCAGGCGAAAGGGCAGAGGGAGAAGCAGACTCATACAGGGCTCGATCCCAGGACCCGGGGATCACGACCTGAGCCAAAGGCAGACGCTTAACTGACCGAGCCACCCAGACACTCCTGACCATGTATGCATTTTAATTGTACAAGCCAGTGATATGTATTGGTCTAAAGGAACAGTAAAAATAATTCACAGTAAAAGTGATTATTTTGTATACTATGAAATGAATGAAAACTTTTTTTTTTAAAGATTTTATTTATTTATTTGACAGAGAGAGATATAGCGAGAGAGGGAACACAAGCAGGGGGAGTGGGAGAGGGAGAAGCAGGCTCCAATGTGGGGCTCGATCCCAGGACCCCAGGATCACGACCTGAGCCAAAGGCAGACGCTTAACTGACTGAGCCACCCAGGCACCCCCAAATGAATGAAAATCTTAATGAAACAGAACAGAGCATCAAGATAGCCTGTAAATGGTACCAGAGATAAACTGACCCAAACACATTTAACCAGCCTGCCTTCTGATCCTTTCCACATCTATACTTTAAAGCAATTTTTTTCTCTTTTAAAACTTGGCCAGTTGCATTTTGAAATTTCATAAATTTTGGCTCCTTTGCATTTTATATGAAATGGCATAAAGAATATTCTAGAAATTTTCACTTTTTTTTGAAACAGCAAATCAACAATTCTAAATATTTTGGATAGATATGTAGAGATGGAATTGCTGTGTCAAAGAATAGGTGGATATTTAACTATATAAGTAACCACCAAGGATTTTCTAAAGTGGTTGCACCATTTTATACTCCCACCAAGAAGTAATACAGTTCTGTTATCAGTCTTCCCTCCCACTCTGTGGTATGATTTTTAATTTGTTTAAATGGTATTTTTCTGAAAGCAAAAGTTAGAATTTTTTTCAATTATAATAAAATTCACATATAGTATTAGTTTTAGGTATACAGCAGAACAATTTGATATATGTATATAGAAGTTGTTAGTTTTTATAAAACCCTGTTTATTACTTTTTTTCTGTTAAGGCTACTGCCTTTTATCTTCAATCTAAGAAATTATTGCTTAACCCCAAGGTCATAAAGAAATTCTTCCACATTTTCTTTAAGAGGCTTCGGTTTTAGTATTTACATTAGAAATTAATTTTTGATCTGGTATGAATTAGGGGTCAAGGTTCTTTTTTCATTTTTTCATATTGATATCCACTTGTTCCAGCACCATTGTTGAATAGACTTTCCTTTCTCCATTAAACTGCCTTGATATCTTTGTCAAAAATCAATTGACTTTATATGGGTTGGTATAATTTTGGACTCTGTTCCATTGATTTGTTGTTCTACTGATATATTTGTCTTGATTACTGTCACTTCATAATGTTTTGAAATCAGGTGAAGTCTTCAAGGTTCATCCATGTTGTAGCATGTGTCAGAATTTCCTTCATTTTAAGATTGAATAATACTCCATTGTGTGTATATACTGCATTTTGTTTATCCATTCATCTTTCAAAGAACACATGGGTTACTTCCACTTTTTGCCTATTTGAATGATTCTGCTAGGAATATGGGTGTACAGATATCTCTTCAAGACTTTGCTTTCAATTCTTTTGGGCATATACCTGGAAGTGGAATTGCTGGATCATATGGTAATTCCATTTTTAATTTTATGAGAACTGTTTTGCATAGTTGCTGTACCATTTTACATTTCTACCAGCAGTGCACAAGGGTTTTGATTTCTCCATATCCTCACCAACATTTGTTATTTCTGGTTCTGTGATAGAAGCCATCCTAGTGGGTATGAAATGGTATCTCATAATGGTTTCAGTTTGCATTTCCTCAATGAATTGCAATATTGAGCAATTTTCATGTGCTCATTGGCCATTTGTGTATCTTCTTTGGAGAAATATCTATTCAAGTCCTTTGCCCATTTTGTGAAATGGGTTGTTTTGTTGTTGTTTTTGTTTTTTAAGAGTTCTTTATATATTCTGGGTCTTAATCCCTTATCAGATATGTGATATACAAATATTTCCTGCCATTCTTTGTGTTGTCTTTTTACTCCATAGTGTCCCGTGATGTACAAAAGTTTTGTTTTTTGTTTTTTGTTTTTTTAGAGAGGGAGACAGAGGCTGGGGAAGGGCAAAGGTAGAGAGAGAATCTTCAGCAGGCTCCACGGCCTACCATGGAGCCTGACTCAGCGCTACATCTCACAACCCTGAGATCATTACCTGAGCCAAAATCAAGAGTAAGATATATAACCGACTGACCACCCAGGTGGCCCAAAAGTTTTTCATTTTGATGAGTCCAATTTGTTTGATTTTTCTTTTGTTGTTTGTGCCTTTGGTGTCATATCCAAGAAATGATTGCCAAATACAATATTGTGAGGCTTCTACCATATGTTTTCTTCTAAGTTTTATAGTTTTAGCTCTTAAAATTTAGGTCTTTGATCCATTTTGAGTTAATTTGTGTATATGAAATTAGGTAAAAGTCCAACTTCATGTAAGTGAAAATTTTACTAATTTTTTATTGGGTATAAAAATCCTTCCTTATTTTTTTTTTTAAAGATTTTATTTATTTATTTGACAGAGAGAGACACAGCGAGCGAGCGAACACAAGCAGGGGGAGTGGGAGAGGGAGAAGCAGACTTCCCGTGGAGCAGGGAGTCTGATGTGGGGCTCTATCCCAGGACCCTGGGATCATGACCTGAGCCAAAGGCAGACGCTTAACGACTGATCCACCCAGGCACCCCAAAAGCCTTCCTTATTTAGATGAATAGGAAATCTTATGCAGTGTGATAGACTCAATTTTTAAAAACTTTGTTTTATGGAACTTTTCAAACTAATTCACAAGTAGAGAGGAGAATATAGTGAATTTCCCATGTGCCCATACCCCCAGCATTAGTAATGATCGTTATTTTGCCAATCTTGTTTCACTTACATACTCTCTTACTCTGAGATAATATCCTATGCACATTTTTTTCTGGAGAATTTTAAGATTTATTTTATTTTAGAGAGAGATTGCATGAGCAGGAGGAAGGGCAGAGGGAGAGAATCTCAGGCAGACTCCCTGCTGAGTGTGGAGCCTACTGCCTACTGCAGGGCTCAGTCCCACAACCCTGAGATCATGACCTGAGCTGAAATCAAGAGTCGGTCACTCATCCGGCTGAGCTACTTAGGCACCCCATTTTTTTCTGAAGAATTTTAAAGTAAAACAGTATATTATGTCATTCTACCCATATATACATAAATGTACATTGCTGATAAAGTCAGTCTCACTCTCTTTCCTTCTCTTTTGCTAATTTTTTTTAAAGATTTTATTTATTTATTTATTTATTTGACAGAGAGAAAGAGAAAGAGCACAAGCACGGGGAGTGGAAGAGGGAGAAACAGGCTCCCCACTGAGCAGGGAGCCCAATGCAGGGCTCGATCCCAGGACCCTGGGATCATGAACTGAGCTGAAGGCAGACGCTTAACTTAGCCACCCAGGTGCCCTGCTCACTCTTTTAATACATAAGAGTATATCATTATCAGACCTAACAAAATTAACAAGAATTCCTTAATATCATCTAATATCTTATTAATGACTGATACATTTCTCCTTTAGTTAACATACAATTTAGTTTCATAATCAACAGTGAAAATCTGAAAGTTTTTTCTCTAAGATCAGGAATAAGACAAGGATACCTACTCTTGCTGCTTTTATTCAACATAGTATTGGCAGCCCTAGCCAAAGCACTTAGGCAAAAAAAGAAAAAAGAAAAGGCATCCAAATCAGAGAGGAAGAAATGAAACTGTCACTATTGGCAGATGACATGATCTTATATATAGAAAACCCTAAAGACTCCACCAAAAAAAACTGTTAGAATAAATGAATTCAGTAAAGTTTCAGGATATAAAATCAACATACAGAAATCTGTTCTATTTCTATATGTTAATATTAGAGTATCAAAAAGAGAAATTAAGAAAAATAATCCCATTTACAATTGTACCAAAAAGAATAAAATACCTAGGATTAAATTTAACCAAGGATGTGAAAGACCTGTACATTGAAAAGTATGACATTGATAAAAGAATTTGAAGAAGACACATATAAATGGAAAGATATTCCATGTTCATGGATCAGAAGAATTAAATTGTTAAAATACGCATACTACCTCGAAGCAATCTACAGATTCAGTGCAGTTTCTATCAAAATTCCAGTGGCATTTTTCACAAATAACAAACAGTCCTAAAATTTGTAAGGAACCACAAAAGACCCCAGATAGCTAGCAGTCAAGAAAGAAGAACTAGGCTGGAGGTACCACACTTCCTGATTTCAAACAATATTACAAAGATAGACTAATCAAAAGTTTGGTATTAGCATAAAAGCAATACAAAGATCAATAGAACAGAACAAAAAGCCCAGCAATAAACTGATGCAGTAAACATAGGAGTGCATCTATCTTTTCAAATTAGTGTTTTCATTTTCTTTGGGTAAATACCCAGTAGTGGAATTACTGGATCTTGTGGTAATTCTGTTTAATTTTGTGAGGAAACGCCATACTGTTTTCCACAGTGTCTGCACCAATTTGCATTCCCACCAACAGTGCACAAGGATTCCTTTTTCTCCACATCTTCTCCAACATTTGTTATTTCTTGTCTTTTTTTTTATTTTAGCCATTCTAACAGGTGTAAGGTAATATCTCATTGTGGTTTTAATTTGCATTTCCCTGATGATTAGTAATGTTAAACATTTTCTGTGTCTGTTGGCCATCTCTATGTCTTATGTGGAAAAATTTCTATTCAGTTCCTCGATCCATTTTTTAATTGGATTTTTTGGGGTTTTTTGGTGTTGAGTTGTATAAGTTCTTTATATAGTTTGGATATTAAACCCTTATTGGATATATCATTTGCAACTAACTTCTTCCATTCGGTAGGTTGTCTTTTTGTTTTGTTGATGGTTTCCTTCACTGCGCAAAAACTTTTTATTTTGGCATAGTCTCAGATAGTTTAATTTTGCTTTTGTTTCCTTTGCCAGAGGAGACATATCTAAGAAAAATGTTTCTACGGCTGATGTCAAAGAATCAGGAGGGATACTGCCTATCTTTTCTTGTAGAAATCTTATGGGTTCAGTTCTCACATTTAGGTCTTTTAATCTATTTTGAGTTAATTTTTGTATATGGTATAAGAAAGTGGTCCATTTTTCCCAGCACCATTTGTTGAAGATTGTCTTTTCCTCATTCTATATTCTTGCCTTCTTTGTCATAAATTAATTTACCATAAAAGTGTGGGTTTATTTCTAGACACTCTATTCTGTTCCATTGATCTGTATGTCTATATTTATGCCAGTACCATAATGTTTTTATTACTACAGCTTTGTAGTATATCTTGAAATCTAGGATTGTGATACCTCCAGCTTTATTCTTTTTCAAGATTGCTTTGGCTATTTGGGATCTTTTGTGGTTCCATACAAATTTTAGGATTATTCTAGTTCTGTGAAAAATTATTGATATTTTGATAGAGCTTGTATTGAATGTGCATCATGAGTAGGCAGATAGGTGAATTGGGTGAAGGGGAATTAAAAGTACACTTACCTTGATGAGCACTGAGAAATGTATAGAATTCCTGAGTCATTATATTGTATATATGAAACTAATATAACTGTATGTTAATTATATTTGAATTAAAAAATGAATAAAAAAAGAAACCCATTTCTGTTCATGTAAATAGAGTACATAGTTTCTGCTCATTTTGGTTCTAATTTAAATCATGGTTAAGAATACTGTGCTAGGGCACCTGGGTGGCTCAGTTGGTTAAGCGACTGCCTTCGGCTCAGGTCATGATCCTGGAGTCCCGGGATCGAGTCCCGCATCGGGCTCCCTGCTCGGCAGGGAGTCTGCTTCTCCCTCTGACCCTCTTCCCTCTCGTGCTCTCTATCTCTCATTCTCTCTCTCTCTCTATGAAATAAATAAATAAAATCTTTAAAAAAAAAGAGAGAATACTGTGCTAGACCATAAAAAAGAATGAAATCTTGCCATTTGCAATGTAATGGAGCTAGAGAGCATTACGCTAAGTGAAGTAAGTTAGAGAAAAACAAATACCATATGATTTTACTCATATGTGGAATTCAGGAAACAAAGCAGATGGACATAGGAAAAAAGAGAGAGAGGGAGAGAGAGACACACCAGAAAACAGACTCTTAACTATAGAGAACAAACTGAGGGTTGCTGGATGGGAGGTGGGCAGGGAGATGGGTTAAAAGGGTGAAAGGTATTGAGTACGGCACTCGTGATGAGCAGAGTGTTGTGTATAAGTGATGAATCACTAAATTCTATACCTGAAACTAGTATTACACTGTATGTTAACTAACTGGAATTTAAATAAAAACTTGAAAAGGAAAAAAAAAGAATACTGGGCTAGAAAGTCTTTCTGAAAGGATTCGTAAGAAACAGGTTATAATAGTCATTGCCTCTGGAAAGCAGTCGTGGATGGCTGGGGAGGGAATGAAAGAGACTGTTCTCCATCATTTTGTGCCTTCACATGCGCTGCTATTTTATATTTTGGAAAAGAATGTAATCTTGATTGTGGGTGGTGGTCACCTACATGTACACACATACATACAAACATAGAAATGAGTTTATGTAAAACTGATGAAATCTAAATAAGGCTCATAGTTTGTATAAAGGGTAGTTTCCTGATTTTGACATTGTACTATAATTATGTAAGATGTTACCACTGGGAGAGGTAAGTAAAGGGTACAGGCGATCTTTCTGTATTATTTCTTATAACTGGAAAATAAAAAGTTTAAAAAAAATAAGTTATAACAATAAGAACAACAAATAAGAACCTTGTGTCAAATCTAAAATAAAAATTTAAAATACTGATTTTATTTTTCAGGAATCTGGTGGACAGTAACAAACTTTGGTGAAATATCAGGAACCATAGCAATTGAAATGGATAAAGGAACCTACATACATGCACTTGACAATGGACTTTTTACACTGGGAGCTCCACATAAAGAAGGTCTGTGTCTAGTAGAAGCAATGGAAGGGAAAAGCCCATTTAAAGTATATATTTTATGACATTCATTCACTTAGGCCAAATTCTAACTAATCTCAAGTATATTCCAAAGGAATAAATCCATTGCATTTGACTCCTCCTCTTTTTTCCTTCCTTAATATTTACCAATTATTGGCAAATCCCTCTTTCCAATGTAAGCATGTGAAAACATTCTTTATAGTTCCAGAAGAGTATCAATTGAAATCAAAAGCAACATGAATAATTGAAATTGAAAGGGAATCCTAGTTGAGTCAGAGATTTGATTCTTTTATTCTTTAGACCTATTGCCAAAACTAACCTGGAGCATTATTAACAATTTGAGGTTTTGTTATTCCTTCTAGCCCATCAGAATAAGTACTAATGAGATACGAAGCAATCAGAAGATAAAAAGCAGTGTCTTTTAGTATGACTGTCCATCCCTTGAATAAGTTAAAGCATTTGGTTTTTTAAGTATTAAATGCTTATTTGTCTGTCTACTGAGTGCATTTTAAAACACAAAAAGAAAATATAAGTGAGTAAGCATCATGCTGACTTACCTATTAAGTATGTAAAACTAACACTGTAGGGGCGCCTGGGTGGCTCAGTCGTTAGGCGTCTGCCTTCCGCTCAGGTCATGATCCCAGGGTCCTGGGATCTAGCCCCGCATCAGGCTCCCTGCTCGGCGGGAAGCCTGCTTCTCCCTCTCCTACTCCCCCTGCTTGTGTTCCCTCTCTCACTGTCTCTCTCTGTCAAATAAATAAATAAAATCTTTAAAAAAAAAAACAAAAAAAACTAACACTGTAGTCATAAGATAAAGTAGATCTTGATGCTCTAATCTGAATAATTATGATTATATCAAAATATCACAATATTCTTAGATTTAACTTTAAAAGAAAACTTTTATTTTGTTATGTTAATCACCATACATTACATCATTAGTTTTTTTGTTTTTTATACTTTAAATTTTTTATTGTTATGTTAATCACCATACATTACATCATTAGTTTTTGATGTAGTGTTCCATGATTCATTGTTTGTGTATAACACCCA